GTCTTCAATTTAAACAATAGACTTGTGGCGATTGAAATTTAATGAAAAATACAACTCCGACTCTCTTTGTTCCGTTTAGTTTACAATCTGGATAAGAGTTAAGTAATGGTTTGTATCGTGAGCTGATGTTTTAAAATGTTCAGAAATAATTTATTTTTATGTTTAGGTTGTTTACCATTGAAACTAACATAAAATTTTATTTGCATGTAACCATTTTATTTTTAAATGTCACTTTACATATACATATATTGGAATATTTTGTTAGTTGATTCATTGTTACAGTGTTTTCTTATCTGCTCTTTTAGATATAATCTTACAGAAGATAAATTAATTTTAAATTGATTGTTTTGTTTTAATTTTGTTCATCTATATATATAAAAATGAATTGCTGTTCCTTGGTCTCATTAAAACTCGAGAACGACTGAACGGATTTATCTTATCATAGTCTTGAAATGTTCGTGGAGGATCAGGGAAGGTTTAAAAGCTGAATTTTTTTTATTAATTTCCGGGAAAACCCTTAAAACTGCGCTTTTTTATTTCCCATACAAACGGTTTTTTGACATTAGATTTGACAACTAACTAATCTGTCAATCATTCTGTTCGATTGAAACAGAAAAAAATTATTAAATACCAATACCTTTCGCCCGGTCAGCTGTATATACACATATTACTAATGACGAAATTAGCCCGGACGAAGTCGCGGGCTTAATTTAGTATGATATAAATTCATTTCCTATACAATTTCATAATAAACTCCTACTCTATTCTGATAACCGCTCATACATCCACCCTGAAAGAATAACATTTATATACTTATACTTTTCGTACATACAATTTTTTTTGGCAATGGATCTGCAATATGTACTTCATATTATGTTGTAGATGTCCATGGGTGACGATGACTACTTCCCCTCAAGTAGGCTTCTGCTTGTTTGCATCTTCGGATTATAAAAAAAAAATCCTTTCATCTTTATGATTTCCGAAATATGTATGTTTGTGTAGATTAAAAAGGTCGGTGATTTAAAACTTATAATTTGAATTTATAATTTCAGGTTTCCTCACGACGTCTACCTTAGCCGTCTGTCAGTGGTGTCTTAATACTATAAAATATATAATTAACATTACATGCTATGAATTATATTATAAATTTATTGTTAGTTTAGCTAATATTATGCTTCCGATTCAATATAAAACCGGAGTGTTTCAGAGTTTATCTTTCAACAATTCAATGTGCTCGAAATATTTCTCACAGTTTCATCTTATTAATTTATTTCCGAAGATATTTTTTATCGTGATTAAACAAACCTGCCACTAAGAAAAGTTTGTTCTGATAATATTCAAGTAATAGCTGATGTATAGCCGGATAAATTAAATTCCTAAAATTGTTTTACTTTAACAACTTTTGTAATACCCAGTTGACTTTCGTAAACGAGAAATTGTTCCAACAACAATAGCTTTGCTAAGATAAAGAGCTATATTTACAGGCAGGTTAAATTAATAGAAAATAACAAACTACTTTTATTGCAACACTCAAATAAACACTTAACACTTGTTGCATCATTATAATTTATTTCACATTATATCAGCGTACACATATTTTTACAAATTTATGTTAAACTTTTTCAATTTTTTTTCAATATAGAGTCTATAAAACTGAGAATATATAAATATAGCTGCCACTTATAGAAATTTTAGTAGAGATTGTCTTCTATTTTTTTATTGTACTATATTGTGATATTTTCTTTTCAATTCTTAGAAGCCTAACCGTCCGTCCGTCAGTTTTTAATGTTTATAAAATTTAGACAATGACCAAAAGATACAGTGATAAAGGAGATCATTCAGGCTTCATACATTTTTGGGCCTTTTTTGAAAGTGGCGGCCAACAAAAAAAATGGTACATATTTGTAGAACTAACCATTTGGAACAATAGTTAATATGGCGCAAAAGTTGTAGGATCCAAGATATAGAAGTTATACAAGTTTCAAGATTCATCATTTTGGTACTTTATTTTTTCTGAAACGAAAAAACGAAAACGAAAAAACAACAAAAAATAACAGAAAAATAACGAAAAAAAATTAGGAAGTTCAGTGACATACACACCTACAATATAATCCTAGTAATATTATAATTGCGAAATTTTGTATGAAAGACGCTGACGTCCAGGAATAACACAGGCTACTTTACATCCGGGAAATCCCGTAAAACCGCGGGGCTCAGCTAGTTATATAATATGTATATAATTAATATGATAATGATATGATAAACCCACCTGTCCACGCTGGGAATCCAAAGCTGGTGCGATAGACGATCCAGTAGATATAGTTACAATAAATTATATTTCATGATTAAAACGCCGCGATGTCTGTTTAAAATGGAGAGTATAAATTAGAAATGCCGAATATGAAGACAAAACACAAATAGAATAAAGTCATTTCTATTATTGTGCAAAGAAGGAGTATTAAACTATTGCCTCGATTTTCGTCCGCGATTTTCATCCCCGATTTTCGTCCGCGGTTTTCGTCCGCGATATTTATGATTTTCATGATTTTCTTCCGCGATTTTCATGATTTTTAAGATTTTCATCCGCGATTTTCATGATTTTCAAGATTTTCATCCGCGATTTTCATCCGCGATTTTTATGATTTTCGTGATTTTCAACCACGATTTTCAAGATTTTCGTGATTTTCGTCCGCGATATTTATGATTTTCGTCCGCGATATTCATGATTATCATACGCGATTTTTATGATTTTCGTGATTTTCAACCGCGATTTTCAAGATTTTCATGATTTTCGTCCGCGATTTTCATGATTTTCGTGATTTTCAACCGCGGTTTTCATGATATTCGTGATTTTCATTCGCGATTTTGCCGCGTGCTTGCCGCGTGCGTTCTGTGTGTGCTGTGTGTGCTCGTCTAGGTAATGAGAACGACCTATTTATTTGAACACTTGATTGATACTGACTAAATTATGACAATGCTTACATTTATATTTGCTTATTAATGTGTACGTACAATAAAATTATGTTAATTTTGGGTGAACCCATACAAATATACTCATAAAATCTTTTGGATTTCATACATGCACTTAGTATCAATGGACCTAATCTACCACGTAATTAAGTGGAACTTAATTCTAATTGTTACATTTAATTATAACTATTGTATTTTATATTTAAAACAACTACAATAGAGAGAAAAGAAAATATTTATATAACAGTAAACAAAATATGATTTTTGTTCACTTAATAATTATTTAATCGTATTGAAAGAAATTGCTTAACATAGGAAACTTGAAAGATCGACTATTTTAACAATCTATTTTAACATTCAAATTATTGTATGAAATGCTTATAATTAATAACTATAGTGTATTTTTTACATTAATAATAAATCAAACTTTTAAATCAACATGTGATTTGTACTTTTGCGTTCTTTTATTATGATCTATTCTAGTTTTTATACATCCCCAACTTAGCAAATAGTCACATATCTAGCATTTTATTATGCTATCTTTTTGGATACGGCCTTTCATCTTCACACCGTAACTAAATGCAATTAGAAATTTATGAAAAGTATAGAAAAATTGGGACTTATTTGACGAGCCATTCTTAATAGTAACCTTTGGTTTAGTTTTAATAAGTAATGTTTCCATAAGTATTAAGTATTCTATAGTTATGTTAGTCATCGCTAAGAAATAATAAGGTTTTTGAATGTAATAGATTGGTCTACCTACGTAAGTAAGGTGGTCTGTTTTCAGGACAAGAAGAATAATAGTCTTTAAGAAGTTATCACGTGTGTAATTTATGAAATTTCTTATTTAGGAATAACACGAATGATTTAATATTAAACAGAATATCTATTTATTCAGAAGAGAACATTCTTGCTAATCAGAAAATATATTTTTTTGCTAATTACTATTTTAAAATGAGTTACATAATGAGTTTTTATAACGTGAAAGAGATTCTTATTATGTTGGTATTATATTAAACCTAGATAAAATATCTTTCATAGTTTTTCTTTCAATGATCGATTGAAAAACATATGACTTAATTAATGCGTACTTATTACAAGAATCAGACAATATTAGTCGTTCACAGGTCCTCGTTAATCATACGCATTTCAAATCTGAATAGTTTTTTTATTTGCTTTGCTAATGATCGCTCTAAGTATTATAAACACTTATATTATATAGTTTTTATATAAGTCTGTTTAATGGAAATATATGAATGAACAAACGGTATAAACTAGTGTTGTATAATTTCTACTTCGGATCTGAGTAAAACCACAATTTGTATTTTATATTTTATTTTTACTATTCCTAATAATTTGGAGTTAAAAATAAATTTATATATATTTTATACATTAATAACATTGTATAAATTTTCAATCTCGTTATTAATATAAGTTTATATATTTTTCAGTTTTTTTTAAGACGATAATTTACCAATTTGTTTTAAGAGTTAAAAATCTAGATTCTTGTTTCTCAATTCAAGTGCTCTCCGAGAGAAAATGAAGCTTCTGAAAATTTTATCGGCATTTGATAGTACCGGGATCACTCATGGATAGTGAATAGGGTTGCCATTAAAACAAATTCAATAAAAGAAAGTTTGTCGTTTTGAGGGTGTATTTTCTAACTTTGTTTTATAATTTTTTCTCAAAATTGATCAAGAAAATTTTAAATCTGATGAAGTTTTTTTATGAGTGATAGAGCCTAGCTGTGGTCACGTACTACACGAGCTCGAACACGGGCTGGCTCGACCGGGAAAGTACCACGCTTGATGTGATTTTTCGGAGTCATATGTACTTTCTGAGAGTATTTAGACATCGCTGACATACGGCGAAGGAAAACATCGTGAGGAAACCTGGACTTATAGTTTCACAATTATAAGTTTGAAATCACCAACCCGTTTTGAGCAAGCGTGGTGATTAATGCTCAAGCCTTCTCCATGTGAGAAAGAGGCCTGTGTTCAGCAGTGGGCTCTGATAGGCTGATGACAACGATGACGACGACACCTCCAACAAGTCCAACACTAGTTTTGCAGCAATGTAGGGAAGATGTAGCTGCTCGTAAAAGACGTCAGATGCGAAGGCGACGAGCTATTTTGTATGCACGGATTATCAAGTTGAAGAAAGAAGTAACGAATGCAGTTAAGCGAAAAACACAAGAAAAGATATTTAAGGCTCAAAAGTCAAAAGATATTGATACAATCAACATAGATTATGAGAATCACCAAGTACCACTACCGTCTTCTTCACACATAAGAACCTACATCAGTAGGAACCTACAACAGTTATCAAACTCTGGTAGCCATCAGATAGCTAACATTGGAGATTATGTCCTGGTCAAATGGGGCAAGTCAAGTTATCCCGGAGAGGTTCTTTCTGTTTTTGAAGATGGTTTAATGGTAAGATGCATGAAGCAGGGACTGAAGTTTTGGAAATGGCCTGCGATTAAAGACGAACAATTATATAGCTGGGAAGACGTTGTAAAAAAAATTAAAAAACCAAAATTAATTAAGAGAGGGATTTACATCATTAAATATATTAAAAGATACATAATTTCATAATATTATTACTTGTTTCTATATAATAAACATAAAAAATCATTCCCTCACTCTTTTACTCATTCCCTCATTCCATTTTTATTTTTAACTCATTTTATATCTACTGTGGACAAAAATATGGAAGACTATGTCTTAATAATAAACCTTTTATAGCTACATTTTACATTTCTGCAAAAAAAAAATTACTTTATATGTACAAAACATTTTTTTTCAATATATGTACCTGAAAATTCGACATTTGATGAGAAATACCCAAATATGTTATTGAACGTAATTTATTTTAGTCATTGGGTTTAAGTAAATTACGTATAAAGCTTAGCAACCCTATTTCTGTGTCTATACTCACCGTTATGCATTATTCAGTTTCATTACACCCAAGCCACTTCACCATCCAATCGAAGAGATATACGTTCTGGTGTTCTTTTATTTACACAGATTAATTATAAAATACATTTATTACTGCGGTATTTCTATAAGATACCATATTTTGTTTTGATCTCTAAATACAAAAAATACACTTTTATACGTTTTCAAAACTTCAATCTAATCTATAAAGTTCAGAATTCTGTCTTATTTATTTTTTAATTTTTAAAAATGACTTTTCATTTATCTATTTTACATATGTTCATTTCAATATTGATTTAGCCCTGGTCATAAAGTTGTTAAGAATCCACCCATTATACATATGTATATTAACACATTATTGCGTATGCCTAAATTTTACATATATATATTTTTAATAACAGTGTACTGACAATTTACTGTTTTGTTATCCTTATCTTCTATGTCCTCATTGTTGCAAAAAAACTTCTGGTTTGATATCAGAAGCTTAGTTTATAATTCAAGTTTAGATTTAAATAACTTATTAATTTAAATTGTTTGATCTTTGAATCTGAGATTGAATTGGCATCATTTCACATTAACTATGGTAAAAGTATACGAGCATTAATTTTATATACAAATATATTCTCAACAGCCCATTCATTGTCTTAATTAAGAGGCCATGCCTGAGGCGGGAATTGATACAGTCATTATACGTTTTGAGTACAAGCATCATAGTCTCTTAAACAGGGATAATGTTCGTAATATTGCTAATGTGGAATATTATTGTTTCAATCTCGAGAGTCCGTAAATCTTCATAAAATACTAGAAGAAAATTTAGAAATACTTAATAAAATAAACTCCTTATTCATTTGTGAAATTTTGGCTATTTGTTACAATTTCCCACCTTATTATTATATTTTTAGTATTATAATAATTAATGTTAAAATTTTAATTAAAGATTTGTTGAAGCAAAGAACAAGTTAATCAAATTTATGTAGATACAGATTTTTGTTTTGTTATTGCAATAAAAGAAAAGTGAGTTTCTTCATGTGTCTGTTCTAATAATATTTGTAAGGCTCATGCTTATTTTGAGGTTATTTATTAACGTTATAAATACAATTATTTATTTCCAATTCAATTCAATGCACTGAAATAATGAAACTACATAAAACTCAAGATCAGCGAAGTCACAACAGAGTGTTTCGTTTTCTAGTTTTGTTTTCATTGTTAACTCAAATCGCAAAGCTATTTGGCAGATTGCCCGAAAATAGAGTGACAATTTATGTATGACACATTTTCAATCACTGCAAGCGGGTCTATTATAATAGTGAAATTAAAATCATATTCAATGGCATCACGTAAAGTATTTTAATAAAATTTTCATATATCGAAATTAAAATGTAATGAATTCATTTACTACAAATTTAATGGGCATTGATATCGACTCATATTCTCAAAACTAATAACGAGTTTATAGTGTGTAAGAGTCTTAAGATTGTTTTAGTATTTATTTACGTGAAATGATTTACACACAAAAATAGGAGGATAATTGCAGTAGATAGATTTTGTGCGATATTACTTAAACATTTTTGATTAGGTCGAGCACATTGTTTCCATTAAAGATAGAAAAATACTTAATTTATAACGAACAAGGCAATAAAAGTGGGTCCAGGTAAATTATTAAATAACTGTATGAAATCGTTGCCGAGGAAAAATATTTATAAGGAAATCATTTAAAATCTGGACTTGTTGATATTAACATCGATTAATATTTTTACTTTTTTATGAGATGTACCATGACGTGTCCATTTAATAAACATGTCACTATCTTACAGATTCAAGAGGTAATTGAAATCGGACGTTCATAAGCAACGTCGGCACGGTTTCCTTTCTTCGGCACAGGTTCTAAAAGGTGGTAGAGCCTAGCTGTGGTTAAGTTACTACAGCTCGAACATGGGCTGGCTCGACCGGGGAAGTACCACCCTCTCACAGAAGATCGGCGTGAAGTAGTCAGTAATGACTGCGTTTCGTCCGATGAGTGAGAGAGCCGGTTGCCCTTTCCCTTTTCCCAACCTTGCCTTTTTTCCTTATTCCCACCCTTCCCTATCCCTAAAAAAATAAGGTTGGCAATGCCTCCGCAACAATGATGTTGCAGATGTCCATGGGCGACGGTTACCACCTGCCATCAAGTGGGCCGTCTGCCCGTTTGCCACCACTAACATAAAAAAAAAAGGTACTTCGTGGGCAAGCTACCAAGATCTAAGTAATATATCAGTCATTAAAGAGACGTGGTACAATAGGAATAAAGGATAACCACTCAGTTGCTTAGGTTTCTAAGACTATGGCTGGAACATGATCTGGGTCTGTAATTTTGTTGATGCTTAGACTACACAGAGTTCTTAGAGGACATTGTTGTCTTGTCTGCCCGTGATCACCATTGCGGCAAAGGATCCAAAAATTTTCCTTTTTTTAAATAAATAAACGCGATAATTTTAGATATCATTAAACTTAACATTATTTTATCTGGTGAAATAGCCAGTAACAGCCAGAAACTGTCTGTCTATGTGAAAAATATGAATGATGATATTTTATTAAAAATTTAGCTGAGCAAAATTTTAAATTCTCCATAAGATAAAATAATCGCTTGTTCTTATTACATTAGCATAATATGTTCAAAATTCAACAATAATAATAATGTTCCATTCACCAAGACTAAATAAAAAGTTATAAAAAAGGTGATGTATTCTATCTAAACAACAGTGCTGGAAAAGATTGCCGATCAATCAATCAATTTATCGCATGTCCTTTCATCTTGCTCGCTGTCAAAAAGCCTGCCACAAATCGCTCTAAATCCGAATTTTATATAAAGGTTATTAAATGAGATTTTACTGAAAATGTTATAATTGAATTCCCCTAAAGTCCGATTATTGATTTCCCCTGAATAATAATATAATACTGATATGAAACGAGTCCAATAAACTTTGATTCTTACATTTAAAAGATTAAATAGTTTAACTTCCTTTCTGACAAAGTTTGTACAGAATTGGACTCTAAAAATCTTATTTTGATAATATCCATAGACAACACAAAATACCCTGAAACTGTATATCAAATCTTAAAATATAAACTATATGCACTCACCGAATTAAAATTATTTTGTCAAACTTATGAATCATAGCCTCAAAACAGAACGGAGTTTGTTAATTTAAGGTGGTGAGGCTGGAGCAAAGATTTGTATGACCTAGCTCTAGCAGGTGGCCTATGTTGTGTTTATTAATAACTAAAAATATACATATATATAATACTTATAATAAAAGACTTTATTAATCCAAGACATGGTTACAGTTGAAAGAGTACACTAAGTTAAATAAACACTAGAAGCTAAATATGTCATGACCCCTTTCGGGTATAGGCGTCCTCCAGTTGCTATATTGTTTCTATTTCTTCTGACTTCTGCTAGTCCAATAATATCATATTTGATTTTCTCGAAAGGATATTGTAGAAGCAGTATTCTTTGCAGTGCACATATACATATATAAATTTAATACTTAATGGTTGAAGAAAATATGTTTCAAATGCTCATATGTAACTTAATCTACAGTCGTTTCCTTTTTCTAATATAAAAGCACTCAAACCAAGAATGTATTAATTTATATTTTATAATGTCAATAGGCTCATATGACAATAGGTAATAAAATTTCGGTAAAAGAATCATAAAATAATTAAAATTCTTACAGAATGATAGTTTCAAGATTCTACATTTTGGTTTGAATTAATGTTTAGTAAATTAACCTGATTACTATTTTGGTATTTGTTACAGAAGCAGTTCATGTTGAAAATCTTTAAAAGAATCTTATTCACTATATCAATTATTTGAAATATAAATGTATAGTTTTAATAAATCTTACAATAGAAAATGTAAATTACAATATTAATTATTTTTCTAAACCATTGTTTAGAATTTAATCTCATCATTAACTTCATTGTGCTGGGAGCGTAATTGTCCATGAGATATTAAACTAATAAAAATTAAAATATAATAACATTACTACTATAGAAGTTAAACTGAGCAAAGATTTTAAAAAATATAAAGAAAATTTTAATCGTTTATTTTTTATGGACCAAGTATTTTTGAAATAAAAAATATTGCTTCATCTTACTTTAAATGCACGTTTTATACTATTTCTCCAAACACAAAATCTATTACCTATTATATTACCAATGTTGTGACGACCTCTAAACCTTATACTAATTTTATCAATCTGAATATAGATCAATTTATTATATTGATTATTTTTCATATTCACGGCTATGTATCTTGATCGAAACAGTTGTAGGCAATAGTCAGCGGTGAGAGTAATATCAAAGCAAATGTTGACGATAATTGATGATTGATATTTCGTCATACTTGCTTGGATCTTTCCTCTTAATTTTAGATTTTTACCTACTTAGTCAGTAAAATGTACTTCGTAAGTTGAATTGGTTACTAAGAAGAAAAAGATCGGTTAAAATTCACC